ACACACCACCTAGAGAACCCGGCAGTGACTGAGGTCCCAGAGTGCCGGGTGCTGTACATATAGAGAACGAGATACCTGCCTGCCCTGAAAGCATTTACAACTTTAAAAGGGAGAGGGAAGTAATGGAAACAGAATGGAAGGTCACATAGCAAAGCTCAGTGGCAGTGCCAGGAACAAAATCCAGATTTGTTGATGCTTAATATAGGGCTCTGACCACTAGATCACATTGCCTTCTCATCTCTATGAATTGAAATATGGAGATGGGGCAAACTACACTCCTGAGGGCAAGGAAACCAAATGTTACAAACCTTGATCCCCTTTCCGCCACTTTGGCACAACAGGGCAGGCAGGTAAAATGGCCAGACCGTAAACAAGAATCAGGCTCTTCCTATTTAGGGTGAATCTCTCTAATGCAGCACCCCCAGGACCCTACGGGAGGCCAATATTGTCTAGCACCATCACCAACACTTCCACAGCTTATGAGGCACTGAGAACACATTGAGGGGTAAATTAGAGCTAAATAACTGCACAGAACACAGAGAGCCAGGACTGGTGGCTGTCAACAAACTTTATGAGACTGCAGGAAACTTGGCCACACCCAGTGGACATCCAGCAACTAAAATCATGCCGGACCAAAGAGTGCCAGACTACAGAGGTTCAACCTATACTAAACTATTTTAAAAAGTCATTATAACGTCCAAGGGGCCTGGACTTTTAGCTCATGGCACATGCATTGTTTATAACCTAGATTACCGATGCTCCCTGTCACCTCTTACAAATCATTCTCCCTTGATGCCTTTTCCCTTCTTCCCGGCCCTTGTTCCGTTGTAACTGGAAATGTTTGGAGTGATATACTGATTCTTTGGTGGAGAAGGCTGGCTCTCTTTGTGTGGCAGCATTGCTGGGGATAGATTGGGTTATTACTTATAACTAGGTTAGCCCAGCAATGTTTCCAATCAAGTGGATTTACTCCTCTCCATTGAAGCTGCTTATTTCTCTGCTGGCGGGGAAAATAGGGCTATTTACAGGCATTTATGGCAGCTGTAAAGGCCTTTGCAAGCAGAAGTATGACTTACGGAGCTGTAGTTCTAGCAGGTCACTGAACCCGTCTCATCCATCTTGTTTCATGACCTCTTGCTCCTGTTCTCAGCACTCCTTTGCAAGCCACCATTTCAGCGGGATGCATACTGGGATTGCTTTCTACCGGAGGCTGACAAGAACTCTACAAGCCCAGCTAACCTTTAAACACTTGCTTCTGGCTGCCAGACATAATGAATGGGCCAAGAAACACAGGGCAGCCAATTTAGGCCCAAAGGAGGCTTTTACTGTGAAAATAACCTGCCTGATTTGCCAGAGCCTGCACCTTGCGCCCTCATGTAAGCCAATGCAAATCAGAGCCAATTCAGACACACTTTGCACTGATTTTGACCAGGTGTAAAGAGGGACATGGGATAACAGGGAAGAGCTGAAGAAATACTTCATCCATAGCCGTTCATTTTTGTTTCATTCCAATAAAGCAAGATTTTATTTTATTTATTACATCCATTTATTTATTAAAATATTCCTCCGCATGTAAACATCTGAATTTAAACATTAGCACCACACATGTGAACACAGCAATGGAAATACAATAATATAATAATAACAAATGTAACAATAGCACTGATTAGGATATCAGAGAAAGGGTTCTATTGCGTACAAGAGAACTGTTGATAGATTCATTGAAAACATATCTCTCATATGACATAATTGGCATCACAGAGACTTGATGGGATAATACACATGATTGGAATATTGGTACTGAAGGGTACAGCTTGTTCAGGAAGGATTGGCAGGAAAAAAAAGGAGGTGGTGTTGTCTTGGACATTAAAAATGTATATATTTCGATTGAGGTTGAAATGGACATGGGAGACAAACTTGTTGAGAGAGGCTAAAAGGGGTAAAAAAAAAAACCAAAGGTAATGTCATGGCAGGGTCTATTACAGACCACCTACCCAGAAAGAGGAGGTGGATTGGACTTTTTTTAAACAACTAAAAAATCATCCAAAGCACAGGAGTTGGTGATGGGGACTTCAATTACCCAGACATTTGGGGGAAAATAACACAGCAGGGCACAGATTATCCAACAAGTTCTGGGTATGTATTGCAGACAAAGTTTTTTATTTCAGAAGATGAAGAAAAGCTATTAGGGGGAAGCAGTTCTAGATTTGATTTTAACAAATAGGGAGGAACTGGTTGAGAATTTGAAAGTGGAAGGCAGCTTGGGTGAAAGTGATCATGAAATGATAGCATTCATGATTCTAAGGAATGGTAGAAGGGAGAACAACAAAACAGACAATGGATTTCAAGAAGGTAAAATTTAATAAACTCAGGGATCTGGTAGGTAGGTCTTGTGGGAAGCAAGACGAGTGTGAAGAAAAACAATTGAAGACACTTAGCAGTTTTTCAAAGGGACATTATTAATGGTGCAAGAACTAACACACTATTCCACTGCATAGAAAAGATAGGAAGAACAGAAAGAGATCACCCTTGTTCAACCAGCAGATCTTGAATGATCTAAAAATCAAAAAGGAGTCCTATAAAAAGTGGAAACTAGGTCAAAGTACAAGTATGTAGAGGCAAAATTAGAAAGGCAAAGGCACAAAATGAGCTCAAACTAGCTAGAGAGGAACAAAAAACATTCTACAAATATATTAGAAACAAGAGGAAGACCAAGGGCAGGGTAGGTCCATTGCTCAGTGAAGGTGGAAAAACAATAACAGAAAATGTAGAAATGGCAGAGGTGCTGAACAACTTTTTTGTGTCAGTTTTCACCAAGAAGTTTGGTGATGATTGGATTCTTACAACAGTGAATGCTGGAGAAAAGGAGTTAGATTCAGAAGTTAAAATAGGAACAGAGCAAGTTAAAATTACTTAGAAAAGTTAGATGCCTTCAAGTCACCAGAGCCTGATGAAACGTATCCTAGAATACTCCAGGAGCTCATTGAAGAGGTATCTGAGCCGTCTTTGTATCTCTGAAAAGTCATGGAAGATGGGAGAGATCCCAGAAGACTGGAAAAGGGCAAATACAATGCCCATCTATAAAAAGGGAAATAAGGACAACACAGTGAACTACAGACCAGTCAGCTTAACTTTAGTACCAGGAATCATAATGGAGCAAATAATTAAGGAATCCATCTGCAAATATCTGGAAGATAATAAGGTGATAGGCAACAGCCAGCCTGGATTTGTCAAGAGCAAATCATGTCAAACCAATCTGGGTATGTCTTCACTACCCCGCTAGTTCAAACTAGCGGGGTAATGTAGGCATACCGCAATTGCAAATGAAGCCCGGGATTTGAATTTCCCGGGCTTCATTTGCATAAGCGGGGCGCCGCCATTTTTAAATCCCCACTCGTTCGAACCCCGTGCCGCGCGGCTACACGTGGCACGAACTAGGTAGTTCGAACTAGGCTTCCTAGTTCAAACTACTGTTACTCCTCGTGGAATGAACTAGCGGGGTAGTGTAGACATACCCCCTGATAGTTTTCTTTGATAGAATAACAAGCCTTGTGGATAAGGGGGAAGTGGTAGATGAGATATACCTAGACTTTAGTAAAGTATTTGCTACAGCCTCGCATAACCTACTTATCAATACTCTAGAGAAATACAATGTAGATGGGGCTATAAGGTGAGTACATAACTGTTTGGATAATTTCACAGGCCATGTCTACACTAGGAGATTATTTCAAATTTACTAAATTGAATTTCTGGGCACCCGGTATCACAAATTTGAAGTTCTGTGTCCTCACTATAGGGAAGAATCGAATGTAGTCCAAGGCAGGCTCCATTAATGTGGATGCACTACCTCAGACTCAGAGCCCCAGAAAGCACTCCAGAGAGCTGCAGGAGGCCTCCCAGAGGCCAATTCTAATTAGTTCTAATTAGTGGCACCGGCGCATCCACACTAATGTTTTGGACTTACAAGTTTGGGAATAGCATTATTCCTCGTGAAAAGCAGGACTAGAGGGTTTGAATTCCGTGGCCCCCTATTCTGGACTAACAGGCTTGTAGTGTGGATGACAAATTTGATCTTGGGGGTGTTATTTTGGACTAAGGTCCTAGTGTAGACCAGGACTCAGGTAATAGATATCAACAAATTCTGAGTCATGGGTAAGGTTTTGTAGGGGACAGTTTTGGAACTGGTTCTGTTCAGTATCTTCATCGATGATTTAGATAATTGCATAGAGAGTGCACTTATAAAGTTTGTGGATGTTACCAAGCTAGGAGGGGTTGCAAGTGCTTTGGAGGATAAGGTCACAATTCAAAATGATCTGGACAAACTGGAGAAATGGTCTGAGGTAAATAGGATGAAATTCAGTAAGGACAAATGCACATTACTCCACTCAGAGAAGAACAATCAGTTTCATGCATACAGAATGGGAAGGAACTATCTAGGAAGGAGTACTGCAGAAAAGGGTCTAAGCTGGGGGGGGGGGAAGCAAATATTCTGGGATGCATTAACAGGTGTGTTGTAAGCAAGACACGAGAAGTAATTCTTCCACTCTACTTTGCATTGATTAGGCCTCAGTTGGAGTATTATGTCCAGTTCCGGGCACCATATTTCTGGAAAGATGTGGAAAAACTGGAGAAAGTCCTGAGAAGAGCAAAAAAATAATTAAAGGTCTAGAAAACATGACCTGTGAGGGAAGACTGAAAAAATTGGGTTTGTTTAGTCTGGAAAAGAGAAGACTAAGAGACATTATGGCTTTCAAGAAGCTAAAAGGATGTTAAAAGAGGAGGGAGAAAAATTGTTCTCCTTAACCTCTGATAATAGGACAAGAAGCAATGGGCTTAAATTGCAGTAAGGGAGGTTTAGGTTGGACATTAGGAAAAACTTCCTACCTGTCCGGGTGGTTAAGCACTTGCTTAGGGAGGTTATGGAATCATTGGAGATATTTAAGAGCAGGTTAGACAGATACCTGTGAGGGTGATCTAGATGGTGCTTGGTCCTGCCATCAGGGGCAGGGGTCTGGACTTGATGACCTCTCCAACTCCCTTCCATTTCTAGAGTTCTATGATTCTATCTGAGCATCACTGAGGTGCTGGTATTGTAGAGTGGTACCGGCAATTATACTATAGTATAGGTCTGCGACATACATGACAAAGCCCCGAAAAGCCACAACTATCTAATTTTTAGGAAGATAGCAATTTTGACCCAGGCCCACCTACATGTGTGGAGTGGGGGACAAAGAGGGCAATTGCCCATGGCCCTGGCCTCTGCAGGGGTAGCGGCAGCTGGGAACCGCACCAGGCTGAAATCGTCCAGGTGGGCCACAGGCATGGGTGCATGGGCAGTGGATGGAGCCCCTATGAATGATGCTGCACCCAACCCCACTCCTTCCACCCGCACCCTCCCTCTGTGGCCATAGTCACAAGATCTCCTCTTCCCCAGCCGGAGCCACACGCCCACCCCCATCTAGAGAATGTGAAGCATCCCTCCCTGCCCTAGCCAGAGAAGTCCCAGGTCAGCTGTAGGCTCCTCCACACAAAGAAGCCCTGAGCCCCTCCCCCGCAAGTCAGAGAAGTCCTGAAGCAGCTCTAGGCCTCCCTGCGTGGAGAAGCCCTGAGCACTACAAGCGGAGTCCTTGGCCAGCCATGGGGCCCCCTCCCTGGCCAGAGGAGCCCCAGGCCAGCCACTGCTGCACATCCCTTCCCTTCCACAGACCCAACCTGCTCGGGGGGAAAGTTTCCCTTCAAAGATGCTTTTGATATGCCCTATTCCAGTGCCAAGGCATCTGAACAGCAAGTATCACTGGGTTGGGTCTGGGGCAGGGAGGGGAGGGGTTTCCCTGGACAGGTGTGGGATAGGGCTGCAACCAGCCAGGAGGTCTTCTGATGAAGTGAGGGGCACTTGGGTTTTCTCTGGGGAGGGTCTGGCCAAGTGAGGGGAGTAAGGGGCCCATTGATTGTGCTGTCCTAGAGCCCAGAATTGCTGTTGATGGGCCTGTCTTGCTGGGTCTATTAAGTTTAGACCCACACACATTACTGAGGCACACAAGTACCTAAAGGCTGTCTTAAACAGCTCTACAACTCACTCCTGTAGACAGCAAGACACGCGGGCTTGGTTCTGTTTAACACTTCACAATGAGCAGCAGCTGAGTGGCACCCAAAAGCTAGCATAAATACTTATTTTTCATTGTTCTCCGCAAAGCTTTTATTCCACCATGCAAGTGCATTACTACTAGATCCTAGTTCTCCATTTCTGCAGGTAAAAGCAATCTGATGCAGATTATACTATGCAGGAGATACCAAAAGCCTTACAAAAGAAGGGCTGTCACCCAGAAGAACATCTACCCAGCCTCTGAGTGTTTTGGTCTCAGACGACTGAACGAACAAGCAGTGCTGCTCGGGGTGATCAACAGCACATAAAGTTGAGGATGGAGGAAATTTGGTCCACCACCAACAAAAATAGGTGACAACCTTCCTGAGACAGCCTTACTGAGGTAACATGGCACAGCTGCCCTGAGTAAGACAGCACTTGTGAGGTAATGTGGCACAGCCCTGTGAGGTAATGTGGCACAGCTGCCCTTCAATGCCTGTGAGGCAACATGGGACAGATGCCTTGAGTGAGAGAGCCTCTGTGAGGTAATGCAGCACAGCTGCCCTCAGAAAGAGAGCCACTTTAAGGTAACATGGCATAGCCCTGTCAGGTAACATGGCACAGCCACCCTGGCTGACAGAGTGCCTATGAGGTAATGTGGCACAGCTGCCCTCAGCAAGAGGTAACTCTGAGGTAATATGGCATAGCCCTGTCAGGTAACATGGCACGGCCACCCTGGCTGACAGAGTGCCTGGCTGTAATGTGGCACAGCTGCCCTGAGTGAGATCCTGTGAACAAGCTAAGATGGCACAGGCACTGTGCTGTACTAAACAGTGCCTGTACGAGAAATTGCTGTATTCCCAGAGCCATCAATGCAATGTCACTGATTAGAAGGCAGGGTAGGAAATTAAACGAAGCAGATGAATTAAAGCCAAACTCTGCAGTCTGCATCTGTTCCTCCATTCCCTTTGGGTGCAACATTGATATGGCTTTAAAACGTAAATTTAGTGCTGAGGAAAGCTGCCAGGATGATGGACCTGGAGACTGGCCCTCAGTGTTTCCCTAACATGGGTAAAGCCCAGGCACGCAGCTGCAGTTCCAGCTTCCTAACAGCACAGCTCAGCCTGCCCTGGAACTGGGTGGGGCTGTCCTGCCTCGGCTTGTTCGCTCCCACACAGGGTTAGGGAGGGGGTTACCCAAGGCCGATGCTGCAGCTCAGAGCTGGAGGGCGTTGGACGCAGCAGCAGGATTCCCAATAACTCAATTGGTGATGTCGCAGCAACTGTCCAACCCTGGTGACAAACACAATCCAGCACAAACATCCGTGGTGTACAGCGCAATCCGCCCAACACCTACAGCCCATGACGATACCGGCATGGAATGCAGATTGGAGCGTGCACACCCTCCAGCTCCTATCCTTTGCCTTGTTCACACCTGTAATTTACAAAGAACAAGGTGAAGATCTATTTCAAAGCCATTTACATAATAAGTATTTTTATGACATTAAGACATAATAACAATTTAACAAGCTAGTCTGAAGAGCCCAAACGGTTTCATAATGTATACAGAGGCACCATCCCCCGAATGAGAGCCATCTTGCCACCCAGGCAGAAAGGGGGAACTTAAACATACCTCTACATATTAATGAGGTCCTCCCTTATTAACTACCCCTGTATTTATAAACCCTTGGAGCCTAAAATATACAGATTATAAATAGTTGGATTGGCTGATTCTGTGAGCAGTTTCATGGTATGATCTCAAAATTTAGCAATGGTTGGGAGGGACAGGAGAGACTAGAAGCCAGAAGATGCAAAGAGGGAGGGAATGAATTAGTAGTAGGAGTGTCCTCCTGCCAGCTTTCCAGTCATCCAGCCAGTAGACGGCAATACAGTCTCTGTCCTCTAGCTTTTAAAAAACTCTCAAAGAGAAATGGCAACATGATAAGAACAAACGAACAAAAGAACGAAAGAAAGATCCTGTGCCTTAGCCAGCTATTTCCAAACACAGGTTACATGTGTTGCACCACAGGAAGGGGGAGGTTAATAGGCGTATCTCTCAGGCTACATCTACGCTGAAGGCTTCTTGCGCAAGAACGCATCCACACTGCCATGTGTTTTTGTGCAAGAGCACATCCACATTGCCATGGATGCTCTTGTGCAAGAAAGCTCTGCCATTCATGGACTGGCCATCAGAGCACCTGTGTTTTTTCTGATAGGGGTTTCTTGCACAAGAAACCCCTGGGCTGTGCCTAGACTGGCAAGTTTTTCCACAAAAAAAACTTGCCAGCTGTCTACACTGGCCGCTTGAATTTCCAGAAAAGCACTGATGATCTCCTGTAAAATCATCAGTGCTTTTCCGGAAATACTATGCTGCTCCCGTTCAGGCAAAAGTCTTTTTCTGAAAGACTTTTGCGCGAAAGGGCCAGTGTAGACAGCATAGTATTGTTTTCCGCAAAAAAGCCCTGATCGCGAAAATGGCAATCGGGGCTTTTTTGTGGAAAACCGCTTCTAGATTGGCCACAGACGCTTTTCTGCAAAAAGTGCTTTTGCAGAAAAGCGTCCGTGCCAATCTAGACGTGCTTTTCCAAAAATGCTTTTAACGGAAAACTTTTCCGTTAAAAGCATTTTCGGAAATTCATGCCAGTCTAGACGTAGCTCTGGTGTCACGCCTTTTTTGCCCAAGAGCTCGTAGAAAGAGGAATAACTCTTGTGCAAAAAGCCCTGTCTTCTGACGATCTACTGTACTTTTTCTTGTGCAAAAACACGCTTGTGCAAAAACTCTGCAGTGTAGAGGTAGCCTAAGAAGCTTCACTGTTTTTCTTCCCATTCCATACTGTACCTTTCAGTGTTTCTGGATGGGTTTCACCCCGCCAGTGATCCAATCCATCTTTTGAAGGATGGCACCACACTGGTTCCTCCTGCTCTGAAGAAAGGCTGCAACTGCGTTTAAAACAAACTATTGTCAAACAGATCATAGATGTCATTCAAAGCCTAGCTCAGAAAACCATTAATACAGGCAGCTCCCTGCACCACCAGAGTTAATTCACTCCTTGCAGATATCCCCCGAGCTGCAAAAAGGCTTCCTGAGCCTGGTAATGCTGCCAGCTGTAGGCTCTGGGAATCTGAGCAGATCCCATAGCTAATTCAAGGCAGGTCCGTTTGGCTCCTACAGAGCAGAAGACTGTGGTTTAAAAGCCTGGGGAAGCAAAAATGCATCCTTTGCAATTCCAAACTTCAAAGCAACGGTAACATGAAACTAGGAGTCGATTTCTGAGTCAGGAAGGTCTCAGCCCTTTCCCCAATGAAAGTCTCTGTAGTATTATTTATGGTTGGACTTCTTGTGTGCTAGGCACTTTCCAGACATTGAAGATGGGGTTGGCACTGCTCCAAGAAGCTTACGATCTATGGCAGGGGTGTGGAAAATCAGCCAGAGGCCGCACACAAGTGAGAAGCAAAAAACCAAAACCAAAACCAAACCCTCACTGACGTGGCCCCTGCCTGAGAAGGAGAGACATGCCCCACATTCCCCTCACACACCAGGGCTTAGAGGGGCCCAGCCTAGTAGATTTTGTGTGCTCCAGCTCCGCTGGGGGTGGCAAGAGGGCTGGAGCACCAGTGCTGGGGAGGGGGCATGAGACTCAGGGGTCAGATCCAGGCAAGCCAGGGGCTGCATCCAGCCCCTGAGCCTGAGGTTCCCCACCCCTGGTCTACGGACAGTCACACATGTAGAGAGGCCACATGATGGAGTGGACAATGGTGAGACCAGCATTCTGTTCCTTGCTCTGTTGGACACATCTCTTACCCTTAACAGATGAGACAGTCAAAGAGTGGGAAGGGACTAGGCCGGAGCCGGGGAACATTTTTTGGGTAGCAGCTGCTGATCCACAGAAAAATCAGTCGGGGGCCATGCACAGGTGAGAAACAAAAACACAAAAACCAACCCTCACGGTCGTGGCCCCCAACTGAGAAGGAGAAAGACAGTCCCCATACTTCCAGGGTCTAGGGGGGTCCAGGCTAGTAGATTTTGTGTGCTCCAGCTCTGCGGTGGGCTGGTGAGGGGGCTGGATTGGCAGTGCAGGCTCCCCAGTGCTGGGGGAGGAGACCTGAGCCTCAAGGGCCGGATCCAGGCAAGCCGAGGCCGGATGTGGCACCCGGACCTGAGGTTCCCCACTCCTGGATGAAACAGAGAAACAAGGTCTCACTACAGTACACATCTATAGCAGTACAGGTACAGTGTTGCTCCTGTAGCGTACCACTTTCTACAGCAATGGAATGAGTTTTCCATTATTATAGGTAATTAACTCTCTGAGAGGCTGCAGCTAGCTCAGTGGAAGAATTCTTCCATCGACATAGCTGTGTCTTCGGTGGGGGCAGGTCAATCTAACCACATCACACTGGGCATGATATTTGTATGGACCTGAATAAAATAGCTAGGTCAACCTAAAGTTTAGGTGTAGACCATGCCTGAGTCTGGAAGCTGTTCAGTTCTGGGCAGTACGCCTGGCCAGTGCCTAGGAGGGCTGCTCAGGAAATGCTTTTTGCTCTGACAAAAAGAAATTCTGCCCCAAACAAACCGGGTATTTCTTTTTGTCTGGCCTTTGAGTCTTCACATTTTTGTTGATTTGGGGTCATCAAAAAAATAGAAAAAAAATCATTTGAGGTTGACAATAATAATTGGAAATTGACATTTCCTGCAAAAAAAATCCTCTTTTAGTTTTAGGAGTGGTTATGAATGAAAAGCTCTAGTGCCTGGCATCATAAGGCCTGGATCTGAGCTGGGCAGGGGGCAATGTAACACAGAGGAAAGTAGGTTTATGGGGGAAGAGAAACCAGAGTAGATTATACACAAAATATTCTCTCTTTATATGCGTTTATACCCACCTCACAAAAGCCATCTGCCCACCCTAGCTATGTGATTAGTCTCAGCATAGGTCAGGCAGAACTAATTCCCCGCCTCCCCCCCCCCGAAGCCATCCCACTAGGTTGGACTTGAAACATGTTGGTAGGGCAACATGTGGGAAGTTTCCCTTTCAGAGCCCAGACTGGCACTGTCCTTTGGATAGATCAAGTCCATCAGGCTCCAGGGCTGTCAATCATTCACCTATCATCTACAGGTTGAACCTCTGTAGTCTGGCACCCTCGGGACCTGACTGGTGCCAAACCAGAGAATTTGCCAAACCACAGGAGGTCGATATTGTCTAGCAGCAATACCGACACTGCCACTGCTTGCTGGGCTCTTAGAAGACATTTCGGGGTAAATGAGAGCACAGAACACGGAGAGCCAGGGCTGTAAACAAACTGTATGGGACCGTGGAGAATTACAGAAAGGCAGAATTGTCATGAGCAGCAACTCACCAAGAGCTGGTCCTCAGGGCCAAGTCTCTTCCACCTGCTTTCCTTCCGCCTTCCTTACTTCCCCCATCTCTTCTTGCCTTGCCTCTGTTGCATGGCGTTATCTGAATAAGAAACAGGATGTTCCCAGCATGGCTCAACCAACAGCACGTTCCACAAAAATCAAGATGGTGGAGCCAGCCCAGCTAGCATGGGGAGAATTCAGAGGTAAGCCTCATTCTTTCACTGCTGATGGCAGGCTACTTGACTCTCTCTGCACTTGGCCTTCTCTCAACTGCCTTCCCCCGCTTCCCGTGGTGATGCCTCAAAGGGGCATGACCCCACTTCTGTCATCTCAGACTTGGTCCCCATTACCTTCCCCCTCACAACTAAGAAATTAATAGGCAGCAGGTTTAAAACAAACAAAAGGAAGATTTCTTCATTCAGCACAGTCAACCTGTGAAACTCCTTGCCAGAGGATGTGGCGAAGACTAGGACTTTAACAGGGTTCAAAAAAGAGCTAAATAAATTCATGGAGGTTAGGTCCATCAATGGCTATTAGCCAGGATGGGTAGGAATGGTGTCCCTGGCCTCTGTTTGTCTGGAAATGGGTGACAAGAGAGGGATCACATGAGGATTCCCTGTTCTGTTCACTCCCTCTGGGGCATCTGACATTGGCCACTGTCGGCCGACAGGATGCTGGGCTAGAGGGACCATTGGTCTGATGCAGTGTGGCTGTTCTTATGCCCAGCTGTGCGAGGGAGTGGTTCAGGGCAGTGAGAGAGGAGACCCCACACAGTCCTGAGGAGGGTGAGACTCACCCTGTGCAGAGAGCAGGACAAGATCTAGACACCAGAGAAGTCAACTCCACCCTAGTTTGAGAACTTCAGTGGAGCAGGGACCTAGGACTAGCCCACTGCACCGGAATTCCACCCACAGGCTGGTACTGCAACCTCGAGCCTGTCCTGGTTGTGGTGGAGAGGGGGAGGAAGGTGTGTGCATGCATGTGTGAGCAGTGGAGGAGGGGTGAATAGGATGGGTGATGAATATCCGTAACTGTGGCTCCACAGTCCCTGCCCTGCTACACCCTCAAATCACCCTCCATGCTGAGAGTCAGACAGCCCTGCACTGAGGCCCTGAGAGGCTACAGCTCTATCAAACTAGCAATCTGTGTCCATCCTGCTGTTCAGGTCCCTCTGCCCCCACAGGCCTTATCTTGCCACTGATTCATGGGCAAAACACTAGGTGACATCCCTGAGTGCCTGGCACTGCAGGGCCAGGACCCTGTGGGTTGCGTCTGCTGCAGTACTCTGAACCTCCAGTCAGATCTAGGAAAACTGCATGGACACGTGGAGTGCACAAAACGCAAGGGCCTTCCGAACCAGAGGCTGTTCCCATCTGGCAAAGCAAGATAGACGGATAGAAGAAAAAGCTCTAAAAGCAGATCTGTAGTTTGGCTCCAATATTATTGTTCTTGCTGTTGTTAGTGTGTGGAGGGTGGCAAAGCCAGTTTGAGAGAGGTAGCCGGGCGAGTCTATTTCAGCAAAAACAAGGAGGAGCCCTGTGGCACCTTAAAGACATTTATTAGGGAATGAGCTTTTGTGGATCAGAGCCCCCTTTGCCAGAGGCGTGACATGGAAACTTCACTGTGGCAGGGAGATACGCACATGCAAGGATGGGAGTGTTACATTGTTAGCGATGTGCTCCACAGAGCAATGTAACACTCACGTCTTTGCAGGTGTGCGTATCCTTGCCAACGTGAAGTTTCCATGTCATGCCTCTAACAAAGTGGGCTCCAGCCCACGAAAGCTGATGCCCAAGGAAATGTGTTAGACTGCCATAGGACTCCTCATTTTCTTGGCTTTTATGCAGAGACTGCTGTGGTGTACGGTGGGCATTTCATCGAACACGTAGGAAGAGAATTTTGCCTTACTGCATGGTGAAAGCCTTCCTATCTCCCCAGCTACCCCGGTGAAGTCTTACGAGGTCACAACTAGCAGAGAAAGTGGCCTGGAGCAGAGCCAGGAGCGGGGAAGCAGGGGAGGAGAATGATCATCGTCGAGATGGTTTTTTTTTTTTAATGAAATTCTGTGAGATTCCAGGGTTAAGTGGTTAGGGTATGTCTACACTAGAAAGTTAGTTCGAACTAGCTAGTTCGAACTAACGTCCGCTAGTTCGAACTAACGTCCGCTAGTTCGAACTAACGTCCGCTAGTTCGAACTAACGTCCGCTAGTTCGAACTAACGTCCGCTAGTTCGAACTAACGTCCGCTAGTTCGAACTAGTAAGTCCACATTGAGTGGACTCTGAACAGGGCTTAATGATGGCCGGAAGCAGTGCCGGCAGGGCATAAAAGGAGGACTTAGAGCATGGAGATACTGTCTCAGGCTAGCCGAGGGCTGCGCTTAAAGGGTCCCGACCCCCACCCCGGACACACAGTTCTAAGGGGTGCCCCGCTTGCAAAGCAGTTCTGGCTTGGAGTGCCCTGAGTGCCCACACTGGGCACATCACACCACTCGGCCATCAGCCCGGCTGCCCTTGCCGCAGGCTGCCATCTGGGGAGAGGGAGTAATTGGGGGGCTGCAGGAGAGCTTCCACCCCCAGAAGCCCGCAGAGCCAGCCCAGTCCTCCCCATCGGGGGCTCGTACCCCATTCCTCCCTCACCTTCTTCCACTTGCCCTTCCCTAGCCCCCCTTCTTATTGATGTACAAAATAAAGATAACGTTTCTTCCAACATTGACTCTGTCTTTATTGAAAAAAACTGGGGGAGACTGGGAAAAGGAGGTGGGAGAGGGGAAGAGAAAGGCTGGGAGAGGGGAGGGCAACTAACATGATCAGGGGTTGAGAACAGGTCCCAGATGAAGAGAGGCTACAGAGACTGGGACTGTTCAGCTTAGAAAAGAGGAGACGGAGGGGGGACAGGATAGAGGTCTCTAAAAGCAGGGGGTGGGTGGAGAGGGTGCATTCAGAAAAGTTCTTCCTGAGTTCCCATAAAGAAGGACTAGAGGACACCAAAGGAAAGGAATGGGTAGCAGGCTTGAAACTAGTAAGAGAAAGTTGTTGTTGTTGACGACAAAGCAAATAGTTAACCTGTGGAACTCCTTGCTGCAGGAGGTTGTGAAGGCTAGAACTAGAACAGAGTTTAAAGGGAAGTGAGATCAAGTGATGGAGGTTGGGTCCATGGAGTCCTATTAGCCAGAGGGTAGGAGTGGTGTCCCTGCCCAAAGTTTGTGGAAGGCTGGAGAGGGATGGCACGAGACAAATGGCTTGGTCATTGTCTTCGGTCCATCCCCTCCAGGGTCCCTAGGGTTGGCCGCTGTTGGCAGAGAGGCTGCTGGGCTAGATGGACCTTTGGTCTGACCCAGGACGGCCATTGTAAGCTCAGGGCTCAGGGTCGGGGGGCTCAGTGGACCCCCTTGATTTTCATGCACACCTGCTCCTGGGTGGCCAGGCTGGCAGCTCTCCTGCCCTAGACGGCCACTTTCCTGTGCCTAGTGCGGAGATCGTGGACGAGGTCCCCGATGTCCGCACTAGCCCAGGAAGGTGCCCGCCTCTTGCGGTCCAGGGCAAGCTCCCGGGAGCCGCCAGCCTGGTCCCGGCAAGAGGGGGTGGGCTGGGAGGCATCGGGTGGGGGGCTCTGTGCCGTGCCAGGTGCAGGGTCTGCTAGCTGGGTGCTGGCAGGCTTGCACCCGGCACGGGCACCGTAGCCAGCCCGTGCCCCTTTAAGGGGTCCGGGGCCGGGAGGGGGGCATAGAGTTTCCCTGGTGTTGGCCAGAGTGGCCACCAGGGAAACCTGGGGAGGGCTAGCCTCCCACTAGTTCGAACTAAAGGGCTACACAGCCCTTAGTTCGAACTAGGAAAACCTCATTTTACGAGGACTAACGCCTAGTTCGAACTAGCTTAGTTCGAATTAACTAATTCGAACTAAGTTAGTTCGAACGAGCGCTGTAGTGTAGACGTACCCTTAGAGAGGAAATCCCTCCCTGTGCAGAGGCACCATGAGAACTGTGTGCTCCTTGAGCCTCAGTAAAATTACGCTCTGAACAGAGACGCAGTGTTCTCCAGCCGCCAGGGCCACTGGCCTCATAGTCCAGAAACTTGGATTCTCTTAGGTTCTACCAATGACCTACTTGGAGACTTCAGGCAAATTATTTCCCTTGGTGGTGCTTGTTTCTCCTTCCACTCTTGTCCAGGTAGCGCATTAGGGGCAAGATGCCTCTTGCCGTGTGTTTCTTCCCCTCCTCGCACAAGCAAGTCCTGATCTCAGTCATGTGACCATAGTGCAACTTGTGAGCATGCTGGCCCGCCCCATGGTAAATGAAGCTCTGGCTCCTCTGTGCATTGCTGGGGGAAGAGGCCCTATTGACTGAACCACAGAATGGCTTGGTCAAGCTTTTGAACACTACGGTCCAAACAAAGGTTCAATATCAGAGACCCAGCTGAGCCCTTTTCTGCCAAACTGCAGCCTTCTGTGAATGCTTATGGCTAAACACCCCCAGAAA